AAGTATCATCCCAAAAATGTTGGATACTTGATAAGTTTTTATTATTATTTTTCTTCAGTTTCTTTACCAAAACGATAATGATACTACTTGATACTGGGAAGTCATAATCGATGTCCTTCGGATCTAGGTGTAACAATCCTAATCCTACTTGGCCCTTTATTCATCGGTCGAAGTACCAACGAAATTGTCTCCGTGTCTCGTTTTTCTTTTTTTTTCGGTAAGAAAGAAATAAATAAATAAATAAAGAAAGAATAAAAGGAAAAAAAGATTCACGGTCGAAGAAACAACCTCTCGCGATTGGGTTTTCTGCAATTCCCGTTCTGGACTTGTACCCTTTGCCGAATAGTATTGCTCGGGGCCAAGCAATCAATTTTCGATTCGGCGTTTTCGCTTGGAGATGGAATCGCCAAAAGGAATAAATAGAAGAGAAGAGAAGAGAAGAGAAGAGTGGAGAGAAAGGGTGGAATAAGAGACAGGAAAGAGAAAGACAGGTCTGATAGTATGTGTGTGTGTGTTGGAAAGGGTAGGAGATGATTGGTTGGTTGCTGGTGGAAAAATTCTCTGAGTGGATACTTTCGTTCTCTCCTGTCTCTCTCGTTACCGTTTCAATATATCTATTTCTCTACTTTCTCTCTTTTTCTATCCTTTTTCGTGTGAAAGGCGAAAGACAGGTGGTGAGGGTGGGGAAAAGGGAGGAGGAGGAGGAGGAGGGGGGTTGAGTATCTCTTATCGAGGAAGGACTTTTCGGCGGGAAATTCGCTTTGCCGGGTAAATGCACCGACGACGAGAAAGCGGAAAGAAGCTGCGGATAGAGATGGAAGCCGTTTGGCTCAGACTATGGGAAGAAAAAGAAAAAGAAAAAGGACAAAAAAAGGAAGGAAGAAAGAAAGAAGAGAAAAAAATATGGAGAAAGTAGAACCCGTTATAAGACAAAGCTGCTTAGGAAAAGTTTCTTCCTTCTTTTATTTCGCGAGATTCTTATCTAAATACCAACTGCGGGCTAGGTTTAATGTCTTTCATTTCTTTTTGTTTTTTTCTTTTTCCTGTTTTTTTTTTTTTTTTTTTTTTTTTAATTACGCCAACGATGTCGCTTGTTTTAATAATAAGACACACTTTAACGATAACAATTAATTACTAAATATAATATGATGCACGGGTTTTCTTT